TAATAGCCATGTTATTCAGCTCGATACTTCTGCCTTCGCAGTCGAGGATGGTTGTTTTCAGCGCAGGCAATTTCCGTTAAGCTACACATGGTCGAACTGACATCATGGTTAAACATTAACGATTGGGTAAAATTTAAAACCTCAACAAGTAATTGTTTCTCAATAGACCGTCTGTACGAATCGAAGAGTAGAACAAGGGGGTTGGTTTTTATAAATCTGACCTTCATGGAAAATTAGGAAGAAGAAAGCTATTGCTGAACGAAAGGCATGGCAAGTTTGCAGTTTGCCACAAGCCACTATAAAAGAAACATGTGGATGAAGGTACTTTAGTCAGATGAGTGAAATTCATAGTCTGCATATAAAATGTGTTGAAAAACTGAATCCACTATGAAACATGAGTGGAAAAAATGGTAGAGGGGGCTAAATACACGGCAACCCTATAGATGAACACGATTGAGAATCTGGCTAGATTTGGAAAACTGATGTTTAAAGATACTGTCCATCCAATCTGACAGAGCTTGAAGTATTTAAAATTAAGACATATTGACGTTTGTGGCGAGAAAAGATGAAAAGTAAAAAAAAAAATTAATTAAATCAAGTACATTCACTGGCATTTCACCGTATTCTCTCGGTTACTTCAGAGGACAAGGAAATAGGCCACATTGATTTCACTGACTTTGATTTCAGTAACAAGCTCACATCTGTCTGAGATGGCATAATGCCGTCCGTTGTCAAACCATAAAGAGAAACGTCAATCCAGATCTAGCACAACCCAACCAGATTTGCAGGCGCCAGCTTACAGGCAGGGACAGGAGGCCGATCCCACACTTTCAGAAACCACGGAGACCAGGACATCACCAGCTACGGCTTGCATGATTCCCTCCTAATTCAGTAAAAAAAAACACAAAAAAAAACACTGTGTCCTATTTCTCAAGAAGGGACAGCAAGGAGTAAGAGGATGAGGAGAAGGGGGGTTCTAAGCAATGACTTCAACAGAGCATCTCACCGTCCCTCAAGCTCTGAGGACAATCTCATTGTGGGAATTCAGCTTTTAGATAGATTAAAAAAGACCCAGCGGGCACGTGGCCGGGAAACTAATGTTTCCAGCGCCAGTGCGGGAGAGCAAGTCGCAACTTTCGAAGCACAAACACCTCAACCGCTTGCTTGCTGGTGTGTGCCGGTGAAAGAGTCTGTCAAAAACGAGGATGGGTTCAGGATTTTACATGTCGAAGGCCAGAAAACTGTTCTGACAACAGAATATTTACACCGATGCTGGGTTTTGCACAAATTCTCTCTCTTAGTGGTTTAATCTGACGTGGAGAGATTTCACTTCCGACTATCCGAATTCTCTCTCAGGCAGTTTTATCTTATAGACACTATCCGGTCGTTCCTGTAAAACTCACTTTAGATTGTCATCTGTGGAACATCTGATTGAAACGTAAAGTAGTTAAAAGAATGTAATGATGTGCATTTGCATACATAAGATGTTTAATCTCATATTCAAACATACACTTATTAGAATTGGCACTTCTTTTTTTCTTCAGGGCACTTCAAAAAATATTTTGTATGCTTTGAAATCCTACAGTCAAGATGGAAATACCTATTGCTGTGTTTTATTATCCGTGTAGCTACATTTGTTGGTGGAAAAACGAGCAATCCTTTGAATAGTACCTATAAATATATATATTTCCCTCTCTGGTTGAAATAGCCAGCTAAACGGAAAGCAATGTGATGGAAAGCTCAAGTATACCCTGTACTAAAAAGAAAAAAAAAAAAAAAAAAAAAAAAAACCAGTAATTGTGGTAGCTGATTTCCATAAGATGACCCTGACGCTGTTTACTTTGTCTCCCATTGAATGAGAAGTTCTGGGAGCGAGACGAGCGATCACCACAACGGAGAGACTTAATGACCGGTGATAATATTATTATGTGTCTGACCATCAAAAAAAGAAATGCTCTGCAGTGAAAGAACACACACACACACACACACACACACACACACACACACACGCTTAGTCCATGCCTACATAACTTTAAAACCATTAGTGTGTGCAAACATTTTCAATCTGAAGCTACTTTTCAACTTTAGCGTCAGTGGTAGAAAATCTGGGCGTTTGAATGAAACGTCTGTCAACTTAAGGCGGCCGTGCTGACATGTCAGGCTTGCTGTGAGCATGCATATAACATGTGGCACTGCAAGCTGAATGGAATCGGCGGTCACGCTTCAATGAACCACTGATGAGGCTCTTGAATTGCAAAGCAGGGGCCGATCACGTCACGACTGCTAAAAATAAGTTGCGCAATTAACACACAAGCATGCAGAAATCATGTATAAAAAAAAAAAAAAAAAAAAAAAAAAGAAGAAGAAAAAGTAGTTGACCGGGAGATGAGAAATAGGTTGGAGTTACGTAATGTTTTTCCTTTGTCACTTTAAAATTAGCCGATTATAAGTAACGGTTATTATCGATTGATCAAAAACTCGCCGTTTTTAAACCCCATATAAGAAAAGAAATTTGACCACGATAAATTGTTTCAAAAGCAAAAAAAAAAAAAAAACTAATTCAAATGTTTTAAAATTTATTTTTCATTATTTTTGTGACTGTTCTTCTAATTTCCCCCTTTTCCTTAAAAGTGTCTTCTTTGTTGCCTGAACCGGTAGCAAGCGATCATGCTTTTAATTAAAAAGAAAAAAGAAAAAGAAGGAAACTAAATAACCAAAGGAATATCAACCACTTTTAGAGTAAATCTGTTCTCACTGCAAGACAACAAAACTGTCCTGTTTCTCCCCCAGGCTACCAGTACATAATATGGTTTTAAAAATAATAAATAATAGAGACAGTAGGTAAATGTTTTAGACCTAAAATGCCCTTCGAATATGTGCTTTTGCAAAGCAGAAAAAACCCGAAATAAAAGATGTCAACATTGCATTTATTCAAGTCTAATCAGGTCAAAGAAAAAGTCTGAATTTGTTCAGGATTAGCAGACAAACTTGAAGTTAATTCCAGCGATGGGTGTAGTTCCCTGAGTGGCCAAACCAACATTTGCGTTTTTATTGGCTGGCCCTGGTGCCACCAGATATCCTCTTGTGTGCCAGTGGCTGTCTGGTGACACACTGAAAAAAAAGAAGAAGAAAAAAAAAGCTGGCAACACAAGTGAAGTGACAGATGTTACAGGACTTGTATTTCAGGTGTGTGACTGCTCATCCTCGTGAGTGTTACAATCTTTTCTTTTTTTTTCTTCACCTTAGAGATGAGATTTCAGAGTGTACCAAGCAGCACTTGAGAGTGTCGTGTAGCAAGTTTCCAACATAATTCAAAGTAATTTGATAAAAACTAACCAAAAAAAACCCTTAGTTGTGTCACAGTAGGAGAGTGTTATGATATCAGTGTGTTCAGTAAGGAGGTGCGGCTGGAGGGAGGGGGGATACAGCCAACGCCAGAGAATAACTTCTTCTTAAATTACCATTCTGCTGGGGGCCAGAAAGGCAAGAATAACCTGATAATTTACATGTTAGGTTCCTGTGGGTTGTTCTCAAGGATTTTCTTTTCTCCAGCAGGTTTTGGAAGGGAAACACTGCCACCTGGCGTTGGATTCCCTTATAATCTTTTTAAAATCTTTTTTCAAAGTTTTTCCATTGATTCCCAACGAGATTAACAAGTCATCAATATTTTAGTCTATTTTGATCACTTACTTCGGGGATGTCCAAAGTGTGGCCCAGTGGCCATTTTGCAGCCCTTGACATTATTTTGTTTGGCTCCAGACCAGAAGTTAAGAATGGTAAAAAATTAAATAAAATAAGATAAAATAAAATAAAATAAAATAAAATAAAATAAAATTGGTCAACAAAATAGAAAACAAAATTAGAAAAATGTCTATTTTTCTTTTAATAGTTCAACAGTATAAAGTCCTTTTTATGTTTTTGGAGCTTTAGTTATGTACAGATTTCATTAAAATGTTGTTGGTAAAATAAAATAATAATTAAAAAAACAAGAAGTGTATTTTGTATTCTTAATTGAATAAATTTTGTGGCTTCTTAGCGGTTAGAATTTTGACCCACAGCCAAACGTTTTCCAGCGTTTAGAACAAAAAGTTAAAACTGGGTTCAAAGCTCTTCCACGTTTGTTCTGTCTCCTACTTGCCTTTTTTCTTTGTGGGAAACACTGCCACCTGGTGTTGGCTTTGTATCACAAACCATAACATACCAGGATAACTAAAACAAAACAAATAGTAACATTTAGGCATGCTTATTTCAAGAAGTTGAACAACGATTAGTTTACTGTAGTGGGCAAAGGTTTTGTAGTTGTTGTTTTTTTTTAACAAACTATGTTGCTCATTTTTACAAAAACAGTTAAAAATTAGTTTAGGTTGCTGTTAAATGTGATCAGAAATATATGTTACTAAATCAAACAGTTCCATTTCCTCTAGCATAAAATTGCCTATGAGCATAATTTGACTGATTTTATTATTTTAAAGGGAAATGATAAAGACAGCGATGATGATATTTGTCACTTTGTTGAAATTAGAAGTCCAAAATTGTAGCGTTATAAAGGAGCACTGCTGAAAGTTATTCTTCTTTCGTGAACTATGATAAACCCTTCAACATCGTTGACCCACATTGGGAAAATTCAGCTATGAAAGCATCAAGGTAGTGTGGGCGCATGGATAGCAACAAATTAAATAATAATAATAATAATAATAATAATAATAATAATAATAATAATAATAATGGCACATTTACAAGATAAAAAAAATACTGTAGCGTTATTAAAAAATAGCACACTCAGATTAAAATAGCATACTTAAAAAAAAAAGCTGAAACGTGCTTGTTTTTTAGCACGTTTGTATAAAATGTTCGTGTATTTCAAAACAAAAGCCGCCGGAACTATTGTTGTGTTTTTATTTTTTTTATTATTAAACATAAATAGACTGAAGAAATTTAAATGTGCTAATGTATTCGAAATATTGCAGTTCATAAAAAGTCGTGGTTTCCGCATGGTTTCGGTCAGCGTCAAGGCTGTTTGCTAAGTCTCGATGTTAGCGGGTTTGATTAGTGATGCCTAGAGACTCAGACCGACGCAGAGGAACCCGGAGGAGGCGGATTGACAGTCTGCAGGGCGGCGGAAGTTCTCCGCATCCTCAGCTGTAAACACACCGGTGAGTTTCAGCGCAGAAACGAGAAACTATATGTCTTCCTTTTGAGTCAGATTCCTTATTTTCATTCGGGTGATATTCTCGTCTGTCGGTGTTCGGCTGTCGAAGCGGTGTCCTGTTAGCTAAAACCTCGACTGCTGAATAGAATTATGTAAACACACACTGGTGGGTTGGTTTATCTGTTAGCATGCCTGGCTAAAAGCAGAGACAAGTGTCATTTTTTTTTTTTTTTAAATGTGCAGCAGTGGGACAGAAAGTGACATACCGAGCCTTGCAAAGGCATTCGGACCTTTTAACATTTTAAATCTTGTCACGTTGCAACCACTGGCTTATTATATTGGGATATCACGTGATTTCGTTAATACATAATTGTGAGATTTAAGAAAGAAAGAGGGGGGGGGAACAGAAAAATGTGATGCATATTCCACACTTTTGCTGCGTTATCTGAATTGGATCTAGATCTGGACTTTAAGCTTTTTTTTAGCACTTGAGTGTGCTTCCATACAACCATTCCACTGTTGCCAAGGCGGCAAATTTAGGATCAATTCTGGAAGCTGAACCTCCACTTCAGGTTCAAGTCTTCTGCAGCCTCTAACAGGTTTTCTTTTAGAGGTTGGCATGTATTTAATTTCATCAACTCTCACCACCTTCCCTGTCATTGCTGGGAAAACCCCCCCATCCCTACACCATGATACTGCCACCACCACGGGGATGGTACTTTTATGTCAGACACAGCGTTATGCCACAACTCTTGCTACTTTGTGTTGCTCCTTTGCATAAAAAGACAGTGAAGTTAGGTGGTGACATGACAAAATGTTTAGCTTTTGATGAAACAGACAAAAATGTAACGGTCTACCTGGTGGCAGAGTGTGGCTTGTCTGTTTTTTCATTAATTCGCCAATTAGTGCCTACAAAACAAACATTCCAGACTAACAGATGCATGAATCTACAAAATAATTAGATAAGTGAACAAACAGCAGCAACAAAAACATGCATAAAAAGATTAATGGACACATTTAGGACAAAGACGAAACATTACTAAGTGGTATCACAACAAAAATGGAGTCCTTTAACAAATATGGGTTAGAACTTAGAATTATTACTATTTTTAAATTTTGGTAGTTATTTTCAGATTTAAAAAAAGTTATTTTCTTGTTCTCATTAGTGTAGGTAGGGTCACACATACATTTTGGATAGAAGTGGGAAAGAAAAACAACAACAACAAAAAAAACAAAAACAACAGAAGACAGAATAAATAAGGAAACAAATTACGGAGAACCAAAATCACGTTTTGTGATTTTGTCAGTGTCGCATGTTTCTCCTTGACGGAGATGTGTTTTCCTTCCTGCTCCTGCTGTATCGCGCAGAGACTCCTCGGACAGGAGGACGCCTGTCTCCATGGTAACGCAGCAGCCTCAGCTGCCATGTCCTCCGTCTCCGTGTCAACGTCGGCCGTTTGCGGCCAGGACGATGCTGCCACCGCCGCCGCCGTCCTGGCCTCCGAGCGCTACGCCAGCCTCATCCTGGCCCAGATGAACAAGATGCGTCTCCGCTGCGATTTCTGCGACGTGGGGCTCAAAGTGGGCGGACGCGTCTTCAGGGTCCACCGGCTCGTGCTCGCCGCCAGCAGCCCCTACTTCTCCGCCTTGTTCTCCGGCGGGATGCTGGAGGCGGAAAAAGACGAGGTGCAGATCATCGGCGTGGACACGGAAATCTTTGAGATTCTGCTGGACTTCATATACACAGGTATGTCTCTATTTTTTTATTTATTTTTTATTTTTTGTTTTCCTTTTCTCGAGCATTCGAGGTTGGGTTTTGTTTTGTTTTGTTTTGCGACGTTATCTGATCTGTTCCTTTCCTTTTTGTTTGTTTGTTTTTCTTTAGGGGCGATCAGCGTCAGCGTGGAGAACGTTCAGGAGCTGATGGTGGCTGCCGACATGCTGCAGCTGATCGAGGTGGTGTCGATATGCGGCGAGTTCCTCAAGGGCCACATGGACCCCTTCAACTGCGTGGGCATCTTTCAGTTTCTGGAGCAGATCGCCTGCATGGAAATGCTGGAATTTACCGAGAACTACATCCACGTTCACTTCCTGGAGGTATGGGGATCGTCCATCCACTGTCTGTCACAGCGTTTTCTAAAACAACAACATGCCCAAAATCTAATTTAGTTTTCCCCAGCAATTACAAACTCTATTTCAATAATCCTGGTATCAAAATAAAGCTAACATTTTATTAAACTTACTAAGCTTAGTAAACATATTCTTGCATGTCTAAAATTCCTTGATTTAATTTTTTTTAAAAAATGCCCGCATACCCATTAATGCACTCACTCACTCACTCACTCCCTCTCTCACTCTTTGGTTACCTAGCAACAACCTGTTGAGTAGCCGGCACGGCGACGGTTTCAGGTTTCGCCTCATAACTGCTTAGGAATAAACAAACAACAACGGCGTGGAGGGGAAAATGGATAAAACAGAAAAGATCACGCCACCAGTTTGTCAGTATTTCTGATATTTAAAACCAAAATTGAAGCAGTAGTTATCTATCGACCGATATGAAACCTATATTTATCCTCCAGCCCTATCACTTTATTCGATCCAGTCCAACAAATATAAAATAAAAAAGTAAGACATTTATGTTCTTAAATGTTTTTTTGTTTTGTTTTGTTTTTTCTTTCCGACCGTGCGTGCGTATCGCCCGTGTCCACCGCCTCCTTCAGGTGTGCGTCACGGACGAGTTCAGAGGCCTGTCGAAGGATCAGTTGGTGAGGCTTCTGCGGAGCGAGGAGCTGAGGATCGAGGACGAGTACCAAGTGTTCACGGCGGCCATGGACTGGGTCCTGCACGACGTGGCCAAGAGGAAAAAGCACGTCGTTGAGGTGCTGGAGGCCGTCCGCTTCCCTCTGCTCTCCCCTCAGAGACTCTTCAAGTACATAGAAGGTGAGGAAAGTAGGTCATCACCACGTAAAGATGATTTTTGTTTGCAATACGGCTTCAGTGAAACTGGAAGGTTTAGTGCTTTCCTTAGTTTATCCTTATAAAATGATGACCTCATTCTTGTTATTTTATTTATTTATTTTTATTAGTATGGCCCCTATTACTCTGTCGTACCTTAGATCACTGTAACAAGTCCGATTTTCTTGAAACAGATCCCCTCCCCCCTGAAAAATGCCCATTTCTTCTCGTTTCTGAACGAAGGTATTACCGACTTCAGCCTGCGGGTGGCACTGCAGACCCTGTTGAAGGAATACACCGAGGTCACAAAGTCTCCCAAAGAAAATAAGCTGCACAGTCAGCTCCAACCAGCAAAGACGAGACCCAGAAGGAAAGCCAGGAAGTACCTCTACGCAATAGGTCGAGATCTATAAACAGTACCAAAACCACACAGCCCACGATAACACTGAAATAAGACGAAACCCAGAAGTGAAACCGTGAATTGTTTCTTCCTGCCAGGCGGCTACACCCGGCTGCAGGGCGGCCGCTGGAGTGACAGCCGGGCCCTGAGCTGCGTGGAGCGCTTTGACACCTTCAACCAGTACTGGACCACTGTGTCGTCTCTGCACCAGGCCCGCAGCGGGCTGGGCGTGGCCGTCATGGAGGGCATGATCTACGTGGTGGGAGGTGAAAGGGCCGTGCTCGCTCTCTAAAGTCAACTTCAGAAAATGTCCATTTATCTTATTTTTTAAAATGTTTTTTGCCGACAGGAGAGAAAGACTCAATGATTTTTGACTGCACAGAACGATATGACCCGGTGACGAAGCAGTGGGCCGCCGTGGCGTCTCTGAATTTCCCTCGATGTGGAGTTGGCGTGTGTCCCTGCCACGGGGCGCTGTACGCACTCGGTAAAACGCCACGTTACTGCTGGGAGCACACGACGGCTACAAGGGTCGTTTTAGATGGAATCTGTCAAATTATTCAAAATATTATGAACGACACAAAACGCTGACAGACACCACAGCTGACAAAGCTGTCGAAGCAAAATGGCAACAAAAACCATTCATTTATGTTATTGTATCGTTTTATAGGGCGGAGTAAGACACAGGTTAGTGGATGACTGTGAAGTGGGCAGAAAATGGTACATGGCTTTCAAAATTTCTTACAGAAAAAAATGTCTGGAAGTGTGGCTTGCATTTGTTTCTGTTTATTTCAATGACCCCAAATAAATGGAAATCTTAAATTAGCACAATATTTTTAAAAGCCACGTACAATTTTCCTTGTCCTTCACAATTTTGCTCTAGTTCGTGGTCGTCTGGTGCCTTAAATCTCAACATAATACATTAATGTTTGTTGTAAACGAGACAAAAGGTTAAAAAAAAAGTACAAACTTTTGGACGGCACAATGAAAGGATGAACCTTAACCGATTGTAGTTTTCTGGCCGTTACTGATTGGCTTTTGAGTAAAAGTTGCTAAATGTAGCAACAGTAGGGTGACATCATATAGGACAGCTGCTGACTTTTAGGTAGATAAGATCGTTTTCACAAGTATCGGTCGATTGCTGATCTCCCAAATTGAAGGGATCGGGGCCGATTTATTGGTGCACCCCTGATCTTAACCGGCTGAAAATGCCGTCTGCTTGCAGGTGGTTGGATCGGTTCGGAGATCGGAAAAACCATGGAGCGATACGATCCGGAGGAAAACAAGTGGGAGGTCATCGGCAGCATGGCGGTTCCCCGATATTACTTTGGCTGCTGTGAGCTACAGGGTCTGTTTATTATTTTATTTTTTTCTCTGCTTTTAGCTGAAATTAGATCTTTTTTTTTTTTTTTTTTTTTGTACATGATTTGGAATAAAATGCGAGAAAACTTTTTATTATTATTATTATTATTCTCAGGGTTAATCTATGTGATTGGTGGGATCAGCGATGAAGGAATGGAGCTGCGCTCAGCAGAGGTTTACGACCCCATCTCGCGTCGATGGAGCGCCCTGCCGGTGATGAGCCAGCGTCGGGCCTACGTGGGCGTGGCCTGCCTCAACAACTGCATATACGCAGTAGGAGGCTGGAACGAGGCGTTGGGCGCTCTGGAGACGGTGGAGAAATACTGTCCTGAGGAGGTGAGGCGGGATTTCCTACTCGCCGTCTCATATCTCTGAGGGCTTTTCTCACCGTGTTGCGATGTGTTTTCCCCCAACCGCTGCAGGAGAAATGGGTGGAGGCGGCCCCGATGTCCACGCCACGCGCGGGCCTGTCGTTGTCGGCCGTCAACGGGCTGCTTTACGCCGTGGGCGGACGCGCCGCCAGCAGGGACTTCTCAGCGCCCGTGACGATGGACTCTGTGGAGATCTACGACCCGCACCTGGACACGTGGACCGAGATCGGCAACATGATCACCAGCCGTTGCGACGGCGGGCTGGCAGTCCTCTGACGACCGCCGCTTTGAACTGTGAACATCGTGGGAGGCGAAGGAAACCGTGGAAACGTTGCACCTTAAAACTCCAAAAAAAGAGGGTTGATGTTGTTTCTACGTGTCTCCTTTTTTTAACTGCACAGCTCTGGAAAGTGCCAAACCGCTCTTCCTATCTTTAGTAGGAGTAAATCATTTTACTTGAAACAGAGAGTGACATCAAGCGTGTTGTACAAACTTTAGGCAGGGCTGAAGGGGGCAGTCGCCCAGGGCAACGGGTTTTGGGGGCACCCCAAAGATTTAGGATGTTTTTGTAATGAATGCATGTTTTACAAGCATTGTACCTTATGTAAAACTGAAAGGCCCATTTGAAGTGCAGAGTTTTAATCTTGTTACAATTTTATTGATGTAAACAATAGTTGAATATTTCAAAATTTTGAAGTTACATTACATATTTTTGTGACATTTTAAACTATCTGCTCATGCACCTATTAATGTACTGTAATTTGCATGAGTAAAATTGTTCCCTTTTTTTTTTTTTTTTTTTTAATAAATGACAAAAACTGGCCCTAACCTAGGGGCCCTGATCCTTCTAAATCCGCCCCTGCTGATCAGATGAAGCAGTTTTTCCTTCATTAACTTCTTTGTCTCAGACTTGGAGGTCATCACCACTTTGTGGTTTCTGTTGTATGCAGTGCTTCTACGATGGCCGACAGTGAAACCATTGGTTGTTCTTAGTGTCAGATTCATTTATTACTGGAAACTTGATGGATGATGGTCTCTCTATTTTCACTGGATGATTATTTGTACATAATGCTGCTGTAAATCTTTATTATTTATGTTTACTCCAGTCGTAGGTGGGCGCCGTTACATTTCAACTCCGATTCTGAAATACCCATTAAAACTTTTCCCACAATCTGTCACCTTACAACCACAAAACCTTGGTGTGTTTTATTTGGGTTTTTCTGGAAATGAAAGGAGAGGTTGCATGCACATGTAAAGACTGACATTTTTACAAAATGGCTCCAATTCAGCCAGATTGGGTGGAAAGCATCTATGAACTAAAAATTTTCCAAGTCTCGCTGCATATCGTTTCAGTTGGATTTATGTCCGGGATTTGACTAGGGCATGAAATGGATTTGTTCTAAACCCTTCTGTTGTTGCTCTGCCTCCATGTTGTGGATTTCCTGCCAGAAGGTGAAGATTCACGCTACCAATTTTATCCAGCTTCTTGTTCCTGCTGAAGAAAGGCAACCGCTCGCTCCTGGAGCCGAGCACAGATTATGTTTAAAACATTTAGTCCGTTATGATATCAGGTTTTCAGGCTTGATATTTATTTTTGCGATTATTAATGAGCCTCTCATGAACACAGCGGTGGTTGATTAGTTAATTTTAAGCTCCTGCTCTGCTAGTTATTTTAGTAATTGAACCGAAACGCACAGAATTGCGCAACACCTTGATGAAACAATAATCACTGAGATTATTATTTTTGTTGGGTCATTAATTTGAAAACGTTTTGTTGACTTTTTGTTGCTCTTGGTCTTTACTAAAGTTACGAACGTTTTCATAAGCCAATCAGAGGAGGACGTGCTGGTCTCAGCCTCCTGGCGGCGTTCAGTTTGTCACCTAATGCCGAGATCGACTCAAAACCTTCCACGATCGACGTGTTGCAGCCCTGATCTAGCAAAGCAGGAACAGTTCAGAAACAATATGAAATGGGGAAAGGGAGCTATTTATTAACTGACTAAGTCGTGTTTTGGATTGTTCTTGAAAAACTAATCAGTCACGGCTGCACAGTGAACTCATTGATTTTTTTTCCCGCAGACAGCCGCTCCCATCTCTGCGTACCCCCGCTAAATCTTTTAGGGGCACGCAGTACCCGACCGTACCCTCTTACCTTCACCCCTGATTACCAGACACGAAGAATATTTGACAGCACGGAATAAAAATGTTATAATTTTTATTATTTTTTTTAATTAAAGTTGCTCACAATTTGCATTTACACTAAAAGTGTCAAATTCTGCTTTCAAAAATTATATAGATTTGTGATTGTTTATTAATAGTTTCTGACTGCCTGCTAAGGCCATTTCAAAAAATTAATTACATGATAAGTTAGAATGAGCTTGACAATTTCCATGATTAGTAATATTTTTGATGGGGAATTTTATTCATAGAGAAATTATAATCCATTTTATGTATGTTTTCGGTTGTGTGTGGTTTTTATTTCTGTTGTATTTACCATTTTTGATTGTATTTAATTTTGGATATTTAAAATATCTTCTAGTTCCAGTGTTAAGTGTTCTTAACAAAATTAAAGTTTATTAGTCTTTGAGAGGGCAAACTTGCATTATTATGCCATTATCGATATATTACCTAAAAATAGTCTCAAAACAATATTATTGTGTATCACAATAATTTCTGAGACTATATGTCATACAGAAAGTATTTAATTTTATCTGCTCAATTTAAAAAAAAAACTCCCATTATTCAGTTCTCCACCTCCTTAAGTTTTCTCTCTATGCAGACTTTTTTGAGTATCAACGTGGCAACAAGCGAGAAGGTGGCGACCAGAGTGAGGATGGTCCTCATGGCTCTGAACCAGGCGGGGTAGCCCGGCAGCAGGGTCAGGTCATAATGCAGCGACAGGCCCAGTCCCATTATAACCACCAAGGCTCCCTCTGTAACATTGTCCCTGCAGAGCAGTGCCAGCCAAGCCAGGAGCGATGGCACCACGCTGTTCCCCAGATTCATCCAGTCTGGCTTGGCAGGGCTGCCGGCAGGGATGGCAAAGCCCCATCGGGCCCCTCCGAGGAACGACACTATGGAGGCTCCGTACACCATCTGAGCGTAGGCTACTTCCGGGTAGAAGGACTGGGTGGCAGCCATGAACAGCGGGGCGGAGAGAAACGGGATGAGGCCTGAGAATCCTAGGTAAAGAGCCGGTTTGGGTGCCTGAGCGAGGGCCCTCATGTTTTTCGCCGAGGCGTCTCTTGAATCCCCGTGATACAGACGAGAGGTCACCCAGCTCGCGGGCCTGACGCGCCGACATCCGCTGCCGGATGTGGGTCCGAACGGCGTAAACAAAGCGGTGGATGGGGAAGGAACCAGCAGTGGGGTCCCTGTTGTGTAGCTAGGTGGCCTGAGTGTCAGCTGGATGCATCTCCACACTGGAAGCTAGGTGGTAGGGCACAGAAAAAACATCAACACCACTCCTGTTTCACAAGTTACCACATGTTGTGATATGTGTCGCTAAGACCAACACGCCACTATTTACAGCACCTTCCAAAAGAAGTCAGACTTTACTTCACTTTCCCTCAGTGTGTTATAAGCCTGACGGCCCGCCAGGCCGTACTTGCGCCCCCACCGGGCTACATGTTTTTTTTATTTTTATATTTTATCTGAAAGACTTATGGGGTGTAAATGCTTCAAAATAGGATTCTACATAACATAGATGCTGGAACTGAATACAAATTATCCTCACATTATTGTGGTTCCCTTCTATTATTTTCCACTTTCCACTTGAGAATTAGGCACCACTGGTCTATCAAATTAAATCCTAATAAAAATACATAGACAAAATATGGAAAAGTCCACTGCTATTTTTAGAAGGCACTGCATGAAAACATAAACAAGCCTCATTATCTTACCCCAAATATCATCTTCCTTCCGGATGAAAACCGCAGCATTTCGACCTACAAATTATAAGAAAATGTGTAACAAAAACAGCACATCTAGATTATCTAGATTATTAGCCAACATAAATCTGTTGTTTTGCTCACCTAGCATTCAACCCTGATGCAATACAACGCTATTCAAGTGCAATAACTTTCAGAATAAAGCATGGGCGTCACAGTTACCTAATTGTAACTCTGTATCTTCGCTGCCTCCTACCGGTTTACCCTGGCCAATTTAACGACTGTAAAAAAACGACTTAAAAGGGCCAAAGTTAACGTGAACTAGCTAAACCAGAGGTCATTTTCTCCCCGCCACCCCGTCGGTGCTCGATTAAAAGCCTTTCTTAATTCTGACATCGATTTGTCTGACTGTAGACTGGCTCGTTGAGCTGCATTCAAAGCTGCACATTTTCACTGTACCTATCATCAGCGCTTTGCTTTTTGAATGCTTTTGGGAACACTAGTATAATTTTTCCGGCACAGTTATGCGTTTGTTCCATTAGATAAGTACGAATGCATTTTTAAAAGTAGTGTCACTCCGAAAGTTCCGTTGACGAGCCGTTTAAAACTTCCGCCCGTTGCATACTGACGAGAGTTCTTGAACGCAACACATTTGAGGCTGTTCGAATCCCTTCAGTGCCAGCGCCAGTCGTACGCGCACCTAAAACCCAAACAAACGTAGACAGCCCGATTTTCGAAGAAGTTTGCAGATACAGAAAGAAGTTGCGTTTGTTGTGTTCACAGAGTTCATGTGTATGGGAATCCCTCTCTACTTGAGACTACCTTGCTTCTAAGAAGGTAGGCGCTATCGTCATAAAACACTGCAAGTTAGCTCGCTAGCACTTAGCAAGCTGATAAATGTGTGGTGCTGCTGCTAAGGTAGCCATTTTGAAACTGTGTTGTTCCAACCAAGCCAGGTCTGTTTACCTCTTTTGTATGCCAGTGACAGTTGCTCAAATTGGTGGTTTTATGCATTATTGCAATAGTAAGTACATTTTAAGTCGACTAAGCCAGCTAACCCCACCTACTCCTACTAAATACTTCATTGTTTTCACGGGCGACTAAACAGGCTAGTTAATGCCAGCTCTTTGCTAACAATTGCTATGCTAACGTGAACCTTAGTTTTGTAGACAGTTTGCTAGCTGCGGAGGTGGGACATAAATGACGGCGCTATGTTCCTGTGGTTATTATCAACTAGTTAATGAACGCTGTGGAATATTTATCCCTCTGAAATATGCCACAGCACTTTAAATGATTTAATTTAGCCAGTTAGCTCGGTGAAACGTGCGCGTTAACTGTTGAATTGGGCTGCTGCTGCATCTCCGTGGGCACATTGGGTTTGTTTACGACGAGGAGCTGTTAGCTCAACTATTTTTCTAACTGTGAAATTGACGCAAGTGCATTTTGACCGATGATAAAGTGAATGTATGAGAGGCAAAGTGCTGTCCGCGGCCAACTCATTGATGATGAGCTCTTACGTAATGGCTTAGTGGGGATACGTTAGCAAGTCCAGGCTCTCCCTGCGCGTGAAGCTCACCGTGGACATGGCTTCACGAAAATTCAATGAAAGAGACCTTCAATTTGGAGACGAATTCGAGATTAAGCAGTCGGGTTTCTTCTAAATGAAAACTTCACAGATGATAGCAGAAGTCTTTGAACGTCTGTTTCCTTGAGCACGTCTTAAATTAGAGTCTTTTGGTAAATGTCACACATTTAGGCTGTTTGTAGCAGCTCTAGGGATTTAATAGGAATCTAAATGCTTGATTAAAACCTGCATTTTCGATTTAAAGAGCTGCAAATGTATTCTCAGTTCCACGTTTTATTTCATAGTAGTAGCTGCTTGCTAATGGTTATCTTAGATGTAATTTTATGCTTCTGGTGCTTCTTATTTGACTTTCTTAGGTCAAATAAGTTTTGTTGTTTTTGTTGAACAAGAATTTGGGTGACACATTTTGAATTGTTTATTTATTTATTTTTTCTATTGTAAACACAGGACTCAAAATTATTCATACTCACTAATATGATATGATATGACACCAATCTAATATGTGTTTGGGGACCGTTGGCTCTTTAAAAAAAATTGTACATTACTCTTTAACTTTGAAAGTCTCACCTTGACTTTTTGTTGGCTGTTTTTCACTGTGGCCAAGCATTTACTGTACATTTTGTCTGGTTTTGTCCACATGCTAAAGTTTCATTCAAACTTTTAAGGTGACTGAAAAGTTTGTGCTTGAAATCATTGAAAATACTTAGATTTCAATTAGATGTTTTCACAGTTTGCAAAGGGTTTGACTTCTGTATGAAATCCTTGAAAGTGGTTGATATTCAAACGGCAGAGTTTTGCAATAAAGTTCAATACAACGCTCGATTAAAAGCCTAACTTTGGAAATAATCGTTTGCAGTTGAAACCAGATATTTTTGTATACAACTAAAATACATTTTTGTTTAATCTACGTCTGAAGTTAAATCAGACTAAACTTTTCCTGTTTTATTTCAGCTACAATTGCCAAATGACAGAAAATGTAACTTTTTTTTTTTAACAAGGTTTTCTGGTTTTTTTGTGTGTGTGTAAATTTAATTTGAACAGGAAGGTCAATAGCCTTAACACAATTTGTTTGGATTGTTTCAATGTAATAAATATTCATTATTCCTAATGGCTCAGAAGACTTATTGATCTGTGTAAATGAAATTAAGGTTGGCTTATATTTTATATGTTAAGCAAAATTATTGAGATTGGTGGATTTTTATTTATTTATTTATTGTTAAATTACTCAGCCCAGTTAGGTGTTCAGCTTGTGTGAGAGAAATACATTTTGTCACATTTTAATTTACCTTGCCCATCTTGTAGAATATAGAATACTATCACAAAATATTATTAAAAACAGTGATAAATGATAAATGTCTTTTCATTTTAGTTCTGTTTTTTATCTCCAAAGTTTTTAAAACTTATCTTGAAAGTGCTTGATGTTGCTCCAATTGTTCTGTGGCGAAATTTGAACAAACCCTGATTTAAAATTTCAAGATTCCCATCAGAAACTGACAATCTGTAACTCCAAGAATAAACTCTTCCTCTCAAAATATCACATTTTTTCATGAAGTTAAATTTTTCATTTTCATCAATTGCAGCCAAACTAAGAACATGTGCTTGGATGGACTTTTTGGAGTTTCTTTAGCGACATATGAAACTGAAAATAAATTGTCAGTCGGATCGTTGCATTTCTAACCTCTGCCGACATAATAAATGATCCTGGGTTTGTTTTTGTTTTTCAGATCCAGTCTGTTCCCGTGAGCAGTCGGCAAGAAGAAACTTTCCCCGAAGCATCTCAGGCGCTCGGAGCTCCGCCTTCTGTTTTCCCAGCATTCTCTTCCTCTAACAGAGAAAGCCGGCGATCAAGCCTTTGTCAGGCTTCGTTCTTGGACGAGTCCCAGTTCCCGCTCGGCGACTTTCATGAAGGCTTTCTGACTTTGCGCGTCTATGAAATCAGGCCGAAGTCCTGCGTGTCCTCCAGTCAGAACAGCACACCTAACCACACGGGCATCTTCCAGATGTGGTTACATGAGCTCCAAAGCTAAATCCGGCGTTACGATGACTCGCTCAGCGACATCTCAAATTCACTAACCCGAACTGAAAATCACAGCGATGTAACTTCGCGCCTATACTTTTTTTTTTTTACCTCCTCTCTTTGTCATGTGACTTTGAACGTCTGCTGAATCTTTTTCTTTCGAGCGTCTTTTTTCCGCCAGTTTAATGAGGTGAACGGCGGCTTCCAGCGACCTCCATTCCCAATAAGACTGTCTGTGAATCCTTTTTTTTTTTTTTTTTTTTTTTTTTTTTCTTTTTTTTTTTTCTCCGTTGCATGCCTGCGTAGATTTTAAAAATGATCCGGTGAGAGGCTCGTCGACTCTGTAGCGAACCGGCACACGGTGTGGCAGGACATCACCGGCCTCTCTTTCCTCTGCCTGGAGCTAAAGCGGGACTGCTTCACGAGCCTCGTCCATGTTCGAGGACGCACAGTTTCCACAGCAGACTCTTTCCTTCCGCAGAAAATAAGACGGGACTAGCTTCTTTTTCAACTTTTTTTGGGGGGACAAATCACTTCTGGTGTCGTCTTTTTTTTTTGCCAATCAATTTTAAGCCCAATCAAGTTTTGAGTTTCTGTTATTTCACGACAGTAGGAGCAAGTGCTTCCAAAATTGAAGAAGTCAGTTTGTCAGCTAAAGGAAAGAGAGAGGAAAAAAAAAAAAGTTACTGTGAGAGCTTTTATCAAAAGAGCGTGGAAGACGTGATTTAATTCACATTCGAAATAAAAAAAATCTCTTCCTTCTAGACTTTGTTTTCCCCCTTCCTGCTCTTCTGCTGCAAAGATCCAGTCACACTGCTTGGCTAGTTTTTTTTTGTTTTTTTTTTTGTTCTGGATCAACGCTCCAGATCATTCCAGCAGAACCCCCTTTTTTTGACTCCTCTCCAGCTGTTTCATCCTGGACGAAGGGATCCACGTCTGGAGAAAGGGACTGCACTGTCCTGGTCGAGGTGGAGCAGGGGGTTTCTTTGTGCCGCTTCCCATCTGTCAGCGCGCGCCGTCTGTGATCAGTGCCAACAGGCCTGAAGGAACCGAGCCCAGCCAGAGAGAGTGAGAGGAGGCAGAGGACTTCAGAGCAACAGACTCTGGGGTAATGTTCAGGTTACACCTCACTAGCTGCGTTTCCTTTGACCGTAGAATTGCACAAATTGGAATTGTGAAAGTTAATCCGCTTAATTGAAACACGGCAAGTTTTTGTACTGGCATGAGGTGGTTTTCTGAAATTAGCATATTTTGGAAAACAGAAACTCTTTTTTTGCGTCTTTGACAACCCAATGTTACTATTGACGGAAACGACAAAGAAGACGACAGCAAGTGGATGGATGATGATGATGGCACGGAGTGTTTCTTTTAATCACTGATTTTGTGAGCAAGCTCATTCACATGTGATTTTGATATCGTTCTTAGGACACAGTTATCAATAATATTTTTGCGCACATTTGTAATGGAAACGCAGCTACTGGCGCGTGACTCCGCTCTGTAGAAACTGCCGGTTCCAGGAAACCGATTAATCAATAAAATCAATTAATCGTTTTTGAAGATTTAATTTTTGGAAAATTTGCATTTTTTTTTTCTCAAGTTCCCATAGGTCAGAGTAACATTGGTTTGCCCAAGGCGGCCATCTTGTTTCACTAGATACTTTTACAGCTTCTGTTCATTCAGGTCAACTCTACGACGGAATATAAGGGGCAGACTGAGATCTTTTCCTTATTTGATTGCAAGATTACAGTCACAATATTACAAGAATGAAGTCATATTTTTATAAGACAAACAAAGAACGTTAACTATTCAGCATTTTTTGTCATTAAAACGACTTTTTTCTCTCTCATAATTTTAAGACGTTCTGGTAAAATTGCGTCTTTGTTCTGCTAATATTATGACTATATTGTCGTACGTAAAGAAAAGTTTTCGTAGCCTAGCCCTAATACAACTCACACAGGATGAATGAAATAAATGTTTTCTGTCATTTGTAGTTTCTTGGTTAGAAAGGAAATCGTATCTGGTACAAAAAAAATCTGAGATTTAATTTTTATGTCACATCGCCCGGCGCTAACCAGAAGTGGTTCAGCAACTTTTATGTTTTCCTACTCGTCCATTTCCAATGAAAAAGACTTATTTACCACATAAGAAAATGTCTTGCATAAGTATTTTTTGGTAAAAGAATCACAGAGCTAAATTAAACCGTGTGTTTACAACCAAGCTGTCAGATTATCAACTTCACAGGCGCAGCTGCAGCACATCCCGCTTTGTTTCCTGCTAAAAATAGCTTCTGACTTCCCCTTTTTGAGACCTTTTTCTGCAAATCATTTATTGATCCAACACAAAATTACCATCAGAGGCGTTTTGAATAAAGCATGAATCTTATCTTTTCCTGAATTTAATCCCCAGAAATTGATTGTTTCTGTAGATCCTGGCCATGAGGTTTGATGCCTCCATCCACTGACCAGAAACACTGGACCTAAATGGCGCAGCATGACTTTGTCCCTGCCTGGCTTAACTTCTCCACACCCCAGCCTGCCAAGGTAGTGAAGTGTGTGTGTGTGTGTGTGTGTGTGTGTGTGTGTGTGTGTGTGTGTGTGTGTGTGCGAGAAAGGATTGGGGGGGTTTTGCACACACTGCTCCAATATATCTTGGGATCTGAGTGTGTGTCTGCATTCAGAGATAAATTCCCCTCACGGTTGATGACTGCAATCAGTTTGTGGTGCAGCAGAGCCTCAAAACGGTTTTTGGTGTTTTAATAAGGGAAACATGCATACGTGTCAAATGTTGTACTCTGAGTTTAGACCTCATCAGATTTGCTACTTTTGACTTCATAGATTTTTTTTGTGTTTTGTGTGGCTCTTCAGACCCTCCATTGTGACTTTCAGTAATTTTGGTCAAAATGTTATAAAGACCTGTTGACATATTTGCTTATAACATGTATATAAAAGGCTAGTTAAACATAATTTTTTCTGTTTTCATGTAGAATTTCCACAACCAATTAGAACTGAATTGAATAACTGTGATTATTGGAATAATCGTCAGCTCATTTGGTTATTGATTAACTGGAGTTTAGTTTAGTCTCAAAATAGGCCATTTACTGAAAGAACAACTCAGTCAAGAGCAGGAAATAAGACAAAACTGTAGAAATATATAAACAAAGTTTTTCATAGACAACCGTATCTAAATTCTCGGTTATGTGTCTGAGGTTGCAAACAAAAACCTTAAATTATAGTTTTAATGACAGTATTTGAACATGATTTCATATTTCCTCAGGCTCAGTACTCGGTTATCTCCGAGTCGTTGTTGGGAAAGATTTCATTTTTGTGTTAGAATTGCCTTGATCGAGTGGTTCTGTGTCAAATAGAACAGAATGGCTTTACTGCACAGAATATGTGCGAAATAACAACATGATCTGTTTTACCAAAGGATTTGTATTAAAAAGTGTTTTCCTTGCACGGTCTGTGTGTTTAGAGGTAGACAGTGGAAGAAAACCAGGCTTTAAACTTGACTGAGTGCAAAGATTTGTTTTCTGACATGGACATGCATCAAACAGAAACTACAACAGGTTTGTTGTAGTTGTAGTTGGTGCTTTCTTGCTCTGCATGTATGGTTGCCAAATTTAAAAAAAAAGTTTTAATTGTAACTTTTTGTCCTTGATGTTGACTCCTTTTACTTTATTCACCTTTATGTTACAACCACAAACCTCAGTGGATTTTATGAAGTTTATTTACATCGCAAATAAACTTCAGCAACAAAGCAGTTCAAAGTGCTTTACACCATGAAACAAATCAAAAAGTCACCTGGTGTGAAACGAGCAATAAACATTGCATTTTGTCAAAAATGATCAAGCAAATATACATCAGATATATCAGTCAATGTTCAAATTATGATTTGCTGAGCGTCAAAGCTGTACGCTGCTTCTCCATGTTTGGTTCTGGGGATAAATGCATATTTGCGTGGTGCAACAGCTCAGTCAAAGCCCAGACAGAAATCAGATTGGGAATTTGTAGCAAGACAATAAAACTTGCAGCAAAACTGGTTCTACTAAATCTGAAATCTAATACATGCCACACGTCTCAGATTTTTAAGAGGTTTTTTTTTGTTGTTTCTTTTTTACAACCTGTGTATAATTCTCTCCCACTTTACGATCACTCACTCCTTTGTGTTGGGCAATCAGACGGAGGCCTAATAAAACACGCCGAGGTTTGCGGTTGTAATTTTTACAGCATGTGAAGAAGTTCAGAGGATGAGACCGGTCGTGTGAAGCGCTGTAACTTAAAGCTGTAGAACCAGTTCTTCGGCTGCTGTTTGGTGTGGTCGGACTTCCTAAAGCCGTAATATTAGAAACGGGAAGCTGCTCTTTGTTCCCGACTGTTTGGCACTTTATTTGACCTCTGGGTTGACTTCTTCCACCCGTCTGTGTTCACATAACAAGTTGAAACTCTAGTTTACTCCCCAGAAGATGTTTTTATGTTGTGGAAGTGATCAGACGGGCGTGTGCTGAGGAACGTAATCTGAACTGACCTTCGGACTTCACAGAACAACGGGTCGATGGTTCGGCTACATCAGAGTAGTTGCGGTCCTGGCTTTCGGTGTGTGTGGTGACTTTTAGTTGTTTAATTTCCTGCTCTACTTTAGATTCCCCTAGTTACTCTTTAACTTGGTACATTGTTTTGAAAGGAAAGCAATTACACAGTCAGCAAAAACAAAAAAAAATCTTACCAAGTATTTTTGATCTAGTGCAAATATCTTAATACAGTTGAAATAAAACAAAATAACTTACAAGAAGCTGTTTTAGCAAGATGGAGGAGCTTGTTTTAACTAAATAAGTTCTTAATATTGATTGAAAATGTATTAGTTCTACTGGCAGATAATTTTACTTGTAACATGGGAAAAATGTCTTAATGAAATAATGTGCAAGTGGAATTAGTACTTTTTAAAAATCAATATTAAGGAATTATTGACTTAAAACAAGCTCCTACATCTTGGTAATAAGTTACTTGCGAGTTAGTTTTGTTTTGTCTCATTTCAAATGTTCTAAGATTTTTTTTATTTTTTATTTTTTGCTGAGATGGATCATAAACGTTTACACGCCATCAAAACCTCCTAAAGAATATTCAGAGAGGTTCACCTTCTCTGTTCTACCGTTTTTTTTACTGTATCCTGGAGAAAATAGAGAAAATGTCGTTGGATCGTGTTTCCTGGTTGACTGACGCTTCCTTTCTGTCGTCCTTCAGTCCCCTGCTGCCAACCTTGACAAGCAAGGTGAGCCTCACCACCACAGAGACGCCAGACCTGCTGTGAGCCGCCGCCGCCACAACTCCTCTGATGGATTCTTCAACAACGGCTCCCTGCGTGCTCCAGCAGGTAACCCCATCACTGACCTTATTTCAGACTTCCATCTTGGGGTGGGCGATATCGATGTAGTTTTATCACGGTGCTTTGCGGTGCTGTTGTGATAACGATAAAAGTGACGAGAAGAACTATTTACTACTTCTGTTTTAGGTTGCTGTGCGACTGTGACTGCGTGTCACAGCAATTATAGCCCCACAAACACAAATATTGCTTTTGAAAAGCATTCACATTTCAATGTAATCACGTTTAATCTGTGGCACATAAAGCAGGTAGGCGCTGCACGAGCCGTATGTGGGTGCTGCGCTAAAGCGGGTGCCAAAACAATGGCCAAAAAGTTATTTCTAGTGGCCGTTTTCTGTATAGAACTGGTTGCGCCTGAGCATTTAATCATATTTTCAGATTTATTGATGCTTTCATTGAACAAATGGTGGAGAACAAAGTGCACCAATACGGACCATTTTGGAGGTTTTCAAACGGGATTAATTGCAATTTATCGCAGCGACAATCATAAGAAATTTATCACAATAGATGATCAATGATGCTATAAATGCCCAGCCCTGCTTTCTAGTGTTAGTAGAGAACAGTCCTTTAATCAACACTTCTGAACCGGTTTAGAGGAATCTCTGCTTCGGATGTCTTTGGAGTGTCTCTATAGCAACCAATTTTTCTCTGGAGACTAAAATTTTTGCCCATTCGTCTTGGGGAAAAAGTACCTCAATTTCAGTCAAAATCTAAGATTACTTTATTGATCAATGCAAGTAAAAAATTATTTTTCCAAACAGCAGAGAAATAATAAAAATATTGAGTAAAAGCAAATAGTAGAAAGCATCAGACCAGATGAAGAGGATCAATTTGAAAGTTTTTCTCCATATCCTCAAATGAGCTTGGGTCTGCACTGTGACTCGGCCTTTCTAACTCATAACTTGTGGACTTTTCAAACTAAATGTAGGAGTATCAAAATAAAGGCTAAATGGAAACGTTTTTGTAAAATCTTGTATCCGTTGCCTTCTACCTCACTTCTATGTCCAACTTTGTGTTGGTTTATTATTCTGCATGAACTTTGTACAATAAAAAAAAATATTGGATTCAGCTATGTAATGTTATAAACTATAGCTGGTGGAGGTTTAAACCAGGACAGTTTGTTATTCTAATGTGTTTTTGTTTATGACGTATTTTCAGGTGATGGCTGGCAGCAGCCCTCGCTGCTCCTGAGGCATGACTCTGTGGACTCCGGCGTGGCCAAGGGTGGGCACGGCGGACTGGCGGGGGGCTCCTGTTGGAAGGAAGCTCCCAACTGGCACGGAGCCCCACGTGGCGGCGCCCAGGATGGCCACCACCACCAGGGGCGCCACCCCAAACGGGGCGGAGGCGACAGGGACAGGCAGGGGGGGCACCGGCAGCGCAACGGCAACTTCCATCCCCGCAAGGGAACCTCGTACCAGGACAAGTTCCCCAACGAGGAACGCAAAGACGGCAAGGACGACAAGCTGAACTTTGTAGAAGAGGACTTTGTGAGTTCTGGATGCCAATTTACTAGAAGCTAACTTCAATTTTTTTCTTTTTTTACCGGATGTAAAATGTTTTTTGTTTTTGTTTTTTTGTTTTTTGCAGCCCTCCCTCAACCCTGAAACAACTGGAAAGTCTGGCACTCAGATGCGAACAGTTGCTCCCCACGCCGGGGTGTGGGGTACGAGAGCCTCTAGTGGAGACGAGCTCGCAGCGATCAAACGTTTCTGCTGGTAACACCAATTCTCCTGCGTCTGTTCCAGAAAACCCTCCTGTCAGCAAACAGATGGTGTCCAAAATGCTGGTCATCAAGAAGGTTTCCAAGGAGGACTCCGGCACGGCGTTCTCTGCAGGGTTCGCCACTGCTGGCACCTTGCCCACCAACGGCAGCAAAGCTCCCCTCACGGGCTCCAGCGTCTACAAGAACCTGGTCCCCAAGCCTGCTGTGGCCCCCACCAAGGTAGGGCAGAGGGGCCCCAGAAGAGGCCGACATTCTACTTGGCTTCTGACAGTTTACATGCTGTTTTCTCTCAGGATTAGTTACTATTTACTTACAAAGTGAAGCCTCTACCTTCAGGGTAAACAGGTTTTAGGTTTTAGCTCATTTGGGCCACATGGGGCAGCAGAGATTCATCAAAACATCTCAATAGAGGTTTTTTTCTGAACAGTGTCTGGTGTTGGGATGAAAATGGAGGAGTTAATGAAGCTCTTTTTATGTCTGGATCAAGATGCTTCATATTGTTGTTATCAGTTATTGAGCCAGTTGAGGTTGTAATGATCCGTTTCCGCAACTTATCGCTAATAATAATCTTTACAAAACATATATGGTGAGGCCTAAAGCTGACGGAAATATTTGATGTGGTGAAAATGGAGGATAAAAATAAATAAATAAAGCGACTTGTGGTCTTCTCCAGAGCACCCAGTGGAAAGCCGGTGGTAGAGAGATCACCAAGTCTGGCCTTCACATGCCAGGCCGGGATTCAGTCTTCACCAGCCCCGTCTCTGCAGCCAAACCCAGCACCCCAGTCAGCGCACCGCAGCACAACACCCAGAAAGAGGTTAGAGCTGAGCCACCTGACGCTTCTGAAACACAAAGCTGAGAACCGGCACACTGCGAAATGAACCGTCAGAAACGATGAGCGGCGGACATTTGTGTCATTTTGGACAAAGACGCTAAACTTTTCCTGTTACCCCCCGCAGCACCCTTCCAGCACGACTCCCCCCATAGACATCGCTCCCTCCAGGCTGAAGCTGATGCGCCGCGGTCCGGACCGGAAGAGCGAGTTCCTGCGAACTCTGAAGGACGAGGGCACCGGAGAGCTGACGACCAGCAGCAGCCCGGGAACGTCAGGAGAGGTGAGGCGGCCAGCTCAAACCTACGGGGGTTAAGAACCGTCGCTCTTTTCCTTCCATTGTAAAATTATGTGGATTTTGTGGTGATAAAAAAGTTTAAGAGATATGAATGAAAATAAGAGGCAGTATTGTGTAAAATCTGGTTTTAACAAATTTTGCTGAGTAATTGTCTCAGAAATGATTGGCATAAACAATAATATTGTTTGAAGACCTTTTTAAACTGATGTAATGGTAATGACATGATAATGCAAGTGATGTCCTGCCAAAAATAAATACACTTTACGTCCAAAAGAACACTAAACACTAGAACTGGTAAACAAAACAGTCAGAAACCAAAAATAAGACGGACTCTCAGCCTCCATTAACAAAAAATGAACTTGAATAAAAATTGAACACAGCATGAAACCAAAGTGGAAATAAAAACTACATTCAACCAGAAGAGTGCAGATTATGAAGTCTGTATGCTTTATTGCCCTTCAATAATCATTACATTTAGATAGAGATGTTCGTATCCGACTACCTGATGCAGTGGTTCACTCCTTCCTCCCACTAAGGAAATGAGGAGGTGAGCGGAGCGGTCAGTGGAGTTGAGCCGTTTTTCATCCAGTGTCATCAGTAGAAAAAGGCAGGAAGAAACGATAAAGCCGCTAAATTAAAATGAGGTCGCTAATTTTCATTTATCATGCGATTAATTGATTTATTGTTTATTGCGACAAACCTAGTTGGGACCCAAGTTTGCAAAACAAAATTTTTTTGCTCTAATGTATCACACCGTATGTATTATGATTTTGTTAACATGTTTTATGCGTTTGTTTGTTTTGCTCTCCTCCCCAGGGTGAGAGCAGCACCCCGGAGCCCAAAGTGTACAGCGAGGAGGTGTGCCACGAGAACGGCCTGTCCTACTCCCTCAGTGACTCAGACACTGAACACCTTTCCAGCTCCCTGGAGGCAGAGCACAGGTGAGGAAAACCGGACTACTGGTTCTGAGTCGCACAAATTCTGGGCGCATCCAACTAACGCTGGGGATCGGTGCAGGTTGCTGAAGGCCATGGGCTGGCAGGAGTACCCAGAAAACGACGACAACTTCCTCCCTCTGACAGAAGATGAGCTGAGAGAGTTCCAAACTAAAACAGAACAGGTGAGGACTGTGAGAAAAAAGAAAATGCAATCAGATATCGTTCTGCTTTCCTCGTTCAGGGTTCATATGGGGGCAGGAAATCCTTCAAAATGATTGAAATTCAATTGGGGGTTTTCAAGGTTGGGAAAGTGCTTGATTTTCAAACTGTACAGTTTGGTAATAAAGTAGAATTTAATGTTGGATTAATACGGGAGCCAAGAGTGGACATTTTACTTAAATGCTTTTTCCCCCCCGATAGATTTCTTAAGGTAATAACTGAATTTCCTGATGGTTTTCCTCAGAGTAACCATCTTAAGAGTACCTAGTATTAGTCATACTAAGAAAAAATATGACAATAAAATTATGAGATTAAAGTCCTATTACAAAAATAAACTCGAAATAATACAAAAATAGTTGTATTACAAGAACAGTCATAATATTACGGAATGAAGTTGTAGCTTTATGAGAATAAAGTTCAGCTATAACGAGAATAAAATTGTAATATTGACTTTTTATTTTCATAATGTCATGACTATTCTTGTAATATTATGATTCTGTTTTGCTAATTTTATAAAAATATTTTTTTTTCTTGGCGTGACCCTAATACTCCATTGTGTATGTAGTGAACTGAAGCTGTATTTTATCATTTTTTTAGTTCATTTGTATTTACTGCACTTGGTTACAAAAAAATATTTTTTGGAAGTTTTCTGTTTTTTTCCAACTGAATTAGGATAATTTTGCACAGCTGAATCCAAAAATCACATCCATTTTTCTCAATCAGGTCAGGTTTTTATTCTGATTTGTTTTAGAGAAATCCGACCTTCTGACTAAATCAATGACATTTTAGTGACATCATCAGTTCATTTCCGTTAATATTTCTCATCCGAAAAAGTTTACCAAGACAGTGCATTAATGAAATGTTATAAACTAGGATTCCTGTAAATTGAATCATGAACACAGATGAGGGTAAATTGAACTTTACGTCTCCATCTCGCTGATCCCAGATTCTCAGGAAACCGTTCCAGATGTGAGAACAAGTCATGCATTTTGATGCTTATGTTGCTCCATAGGTCAGAAAGTTGACCTGATTGAGCAAAACCAAATTGATTCACTTCATCAAAATGACCCCAAAACAGTTGAAAAACCCCAGACAACTTTTTTGGCCGTTGTGGCCAGTGTTATCTGCAAAGTGTGGTGCTGGAAAAGTATGAAAACTTTCCTTACAAATACTTATGCTTTCTACCAGCTGAAGAAGAACGGCATGCAGAGAAACGGGGTTCTCCCCAGGACGCGGGGCGTGACCCTCCACTTCACCCCCTGGAGGAGTGTGGCGGAGGCGCATGTGGAGGAGGGCTCTGAGTCCGACACCAGTAGCAGCAGCCAGACCTCGGACGACGACGACTGCACCAGATCCTAACACGGCTTTACGGAACAAAACATCCAACAAAAACAGCCAACACCACATCCCAGCAAGCAACCCCCTCTTCCTGTCTCATCTTTTCTTTTTAGAGCACCATTTTGAAATTTGGGTTTTTTTGTTGTTTTGTTTTTTTCGTCATTCTTGCACAAGGGAAAAACCAATCATATCCCAGTGAAGGGGGAGATTCCTGCTCTGCCAGACGTTGTTTTCCCTGCGTTTCCTCCTTCACTGCAGTCCTTTGACCTCTGACCCTCCTCCTCCCTCTCCTCACCCTCTTCCTTTTTCTTCCTCGCTTTGTTGAACTGAAGTGTTCATCAAGAAAAGAAGGGCAATGAATGCACACTTGATTCTGCTTTAAACAGACTAACTCATTTCATTGATGATGCTGATGACACATTAATAATGATATTAATAAAAATTGGTTCCTGACAAGCTGATATGTTTCACTATGAATCTTGACTACTGTGGTGTTTCATCTCCAAGCCTCTTTACATTGTCTAGGCCAGTTGTAAAAGAAAAAAAAAATGAAACGCTGCCTTTATTTTGTGTGAGACTACAGGGTTGTTTTTAGCTCAACTTTGCAGAATGAAATGTTTTCGCTTTCTTTAATGCCTTTCTACGAAATAAAAGTGCTCCAAGAAGACACTAGAACTAATGTTTTCTATAGGTTGGAAACTTTAGGAAGTATATGGAAATGTACAAAAACAAGTCTGGGACATTTTTTTTTCTCTATCATTTTAATGTCGTCTGTCTCATTTAAAATAGATTAAGATTTGTTGCTGGAGTTTTGTTTGCGTTTTTCCAGCTAACTGTGTTTTCAGAGACGCGTCCTGTCCGGTTTGAAAGGCTCCAGATTGACTGTTGTAGGTAACTAAGCTCATTTTTAGCTCAGATCTTGGTTATAATTTTAGGTGATCTTAGCTGGAGTTTAGATCAGGCCTTATAAATCCAACACTAGCCCATAAGCATCGATCCATCCCAACTAATTAACATGAACTAGAAGTCCAAAGTAAACCTGATAAGACTTTTTTGCTTTTATTTACAGACTATAAATTGTGTAAGCAGTGTAACTTCTCCCGTTTTCGGCTTTGGTTTTTACATCTTCTAGCTCCATTTTGTTGCCACCGCAGGGTGAGTCCATTGTGCATCTTCTGGGATGTGTGGTAAGAGCAGGGCAGTGCCGTTTTTACTTCATATCGCACGTTCTCTTTTGGCTTTTCTGTTCCCCAGAAGCCAGAGCCCAAACATCTAGCAAATCTGTCTTTTTTTGCCTGAGTTCAGCTCAGGCCATAAATCTAAACTCTAATCCTGGAGTTCTTGGCCCCTTTTACTTACTCAGGCTGTGTCAGTAAAACAAAAATGTTAGTTTATCTTAGGGTTCAATGTATTTCACTGTGCTTTAGCAGACCCAACACCTAGTAGTGCAACCCTAATTATAAAATGTTAGGGGATGATTTTCATGTTTTTACAAAAAAAAAGAAAACTTGTCTAAGTGCGTATTCAGCCCCTTCTTTTGAAGCCTCTAATAAAATCCACCTACTAAAGGGCAAGTGTTTAGTTGAATCTTATTGTGGTTCCAGGTATTTCTTATGTCTTGTAAATTGGCTTGGCTCATTTAATCTGCTGTCAAAGCTAAAACTACAGGCAGACTACAATCCTAAAACAGCGCAGAAAATCAACGTCATTGTTTGCTACTTTTGCTGTTCACTGATTGGCCCACTCAAAAATCCACTGGAGACAATCCGAGCCAAGGAGAGGAAGCCCAGACTGTGCTGGAAGCGAGGTACACCTCAGAGCTAGGTTAGGTGTATAATTAATGATTTGAACCAGGCGTGAGCCAAACATTTGGCTTCGCGATGCCTGGTTTTGAACCTCTGAATTTCACTTTCACTCAAACTACATTATTTGAAATTACAGACTTGCCATTACTGCTTGTTATGGCAATAAATAGCTAGAATTAGCATTTTATTGCCAATGACAGCAAAAAAATGCTATAATTAGGATTTGGAAAAGAACCAGCATGAATTCAAGTTCTTGCGACCAGTTTACCTTTAACATGCCTGGTGTCATGTCTCCTGAAACACCTGAGTCAAATCAGATCATTAGGAAGAAAGGTCATCCAACAGTCTTTATTAACTTTACAGGTTACAAAAAGGTTTAGAAAAACATATTTACAACAGCAGCAACACGGTGTGCGAGCTGTCCAGGAGAATGTGAACCAGTCTGGCTTCACTGCCTTAAAATGCAACAAGTGAGGAGGCTCCAGGTTCTGTGGTCGTGGTCTTTACGCAGCCAAACCTGAACATTGGAGTTCTGAACTTCAGAGATGCGTCCCCTGAGCCGAGTCTACTTCATATTCTTGGACAGTGAGAATCAAGGAAAGTGGAAGGAAGCCTAAGGACTCGTCACTTTGCCACCTCCATGTTTTCTCCGTTAGCTTTGTGGATCTTGTTGGTGCGGGGCTCCTGGTCGTCGTCCTGCTTCACCCTCTTCACTACAGCTTCCTTTACCGGACTTTCTGGTTTCCTCTGAAAGGAAGCAGAAAAATTAGGCCACCATACCACAGGGCATTCTGGGTAATTTATAAATAAATAGCTTGTGGTCTTTTACCAAAGACAAAAGATAAATTCTGAATTTGACACCACTTCATCTGTTTAAAGTTTGTGAAACACCAAGTTGTGCTCAGTGTTTCCTTCAGGTTCTTGGTGCAGTTGATACCACACCAGTGGAAAAAAAATTTAACAAATGTTGCAATTTTGGTCCCCAAAGGAACCAAGTCTCACCATTGGTCACAGACCCTGGATCTCTTCAGTAGGTCTGTGGAAAACATCATGTAGCCTATTGCTGAAGATCAAACTACTGTAATGCAGCCAAAACGGCACCTGGGTTCCACTAATGCCAATTGATGCATATTCTACACATACAAGAATTGGCCAATTAGTAGCAGGAATGAGCCCATTTCTAAATTTTACATATTGTGCTAAATATATGTTAATCTGCTTAATTTAATATCCACCTGACAGCAAGAAAATGCTTTAAAAAACAAATACACAAATTTAGGCAGTAAGAGGTTTACAAAATAAAAATCATATAAAAAGGCAATTTATAACTTCACTGAGAGTACCATCATCATTAACTGCATGTTTGAATTTGCATTATTCCTTGAAGTAACCCAAAATTCCTGTTCTAGTTCGATCTGAACTTTCGGATGGAATTCCTTTAAAAAACTACTTTAAAGGAAGCCGAGGTCCTCGACCTACACCGGGGTCACCGTCAAACGTCTGAGCGCTCACCTTCTTTCTGACCAGGTGGGAGATATCAGACACTGGGACTGTGGGGGGATGTTCACTGGTGCTGTTGGTGCTTTGCAGCTGGTTGGAAAGTGAGACAAAAAGCCGTTAGGAAAAACAACACAAACTTCGGCAGTAAGAGACGCAACTGAAACCTTTAACTTTGCTTTGGACAAATGAGAAACGAACCAGAACTAGTTCAAGTTAAAGTTAGATCATAACACTCCCCCTGCTGGCCATCTGGGGGACATTCCACAATGTTTGACCGATGAGAGTTTTGGTCCTTTCAGGAACCTCCTCTGTATTTTGTTTGGGTTTTAATGCCTGGCCTACATCAGAGCTTTTCGCAGTGACAGGAAGTGAGTTTTTAAGAAATCAGAAGCTTCAAATATCTTGTTTCCCAGTGTGAATGTTTTGTCCATGTTATTTCAGGAGCAGACTTACTGCTGGACGGGACAAAGAGTCAGCAGGGCTGACGGTAGAATCAGGCAAAGCAGAGGAACTGGAGGCTCCGTCCTACAGGTGGGAACAAAGCAAACAAAAACTCAGAACAGGAGCTGTGGAGCATCTGTCAGCAATAAGAAGGCAAACATGAGGATTAATCATCTGTGGATTGGTCCAAATAATCAAGTATTCAGAATATAAGCAACATCTTGGTAGGTTATTTCTTTCTTTGAAAGAGCTTCTGCAGGGTTTCACCAGCTCAAAGACTTTGTAAGGCTAGGAGCAGAATTTAAAATACATATAAATAAATCGTATGTGTTGGCCTGAGAACTGGTTATAAATTTGCACTTACCCATGATCGATGTAAAAAAGCTGGCCAGCTTCACGCTAGCTAGCCTTCAATTGTGTATTAGTAGCATGTTAGCGGAAGCCACAAGTGCCTCTAAGCACAGACGTCTGCATGTGAATCAAAGTTTTGCATAATTGAACAGCATAAGGAAAAAAAAAGCTACATGGAATATAAGATGAAATAATTCTGGAACAGAATGTAATACCTGTGATTAATGTATTTAAGGCTAACTTGTTTTTTTTTTTTTTTCTGGGGAATTTAATGTAATTTTAGACACAAATTTAAGACTAAGGATGTAGATGCCCTGAACTAAAAAGAAAAACCCAGAATAAGCAGTTTGTTCATTCCCAGCTCACCTGAGCCTCCTCAGCGCTGCTCTTCATCCCTTCAGTTGCGTCCTCCACCTTCTCCTGGATCTCTGGGAGCAGAGCCTTCAGCTCCTCCATCTCCTTCCTCTCGTCTTCCAGAGCTTCTGGATCCTCGGCTTTGTCCATCATCTCCTGAAGTTTCTCTGAAAGGTCAACAACGTCAGACTAAAAGGTCTGCTCTCCGCGTGGTGATCTGCTGTGGTGGCAGGTGGGCGGCGCCTCACCCAGCCTGTTCTTGATGACCGAGATGGAGCTGTTCAGGGCCTGGATGGCCAGGGCATACTGGAGGTTCAGGCTGTGGGCGACCCCCAGCTGATAGTGGGTCTCTGCCAGCAGGCGGCTGTCCGGGTCCAGGTGCTTCAGCTGGAGCTTCAGACACTCCTGGAAGTCCTCGAGTGCCTGGTTGTAGTTTCCTGACATGCAGATTAAATATGAGCAACAATATTACAGATCATCATCCAAGAACAAACGTCTTAAAACAGAAGTGTCCAAAGTGTGGCCC